GTTGTTGTTGTTGTTGTTGTTGTTGTTGTTGTTGTGTGTGTGTGGTAGCCTATCCGTTCGAATGTTTGGAGCCCCGAAGAGCGCGCTCTTCGCCATGTCCACCGCCTCCCTCGGGTAGCGGGTGAGGCAGTCCAACCTCCCTGAATCCTCCCCGAAGAGATGCCACCGCGGACCTCCAAGACGGGCATCTCTGCAGCCAGTGCTCCAAATCTTGGGGTTTCTCGCTGCACAATGGACAGGTTGGGTCCGATGTTTTGTCTATTCTATTTTTGTAGGCCCATAGCCCAGAAAAGTGACCGGTCCTGATTTTTGCCTATAATGACTGGTCACTTCGGGATTTAAAAAGATCCTCTCAGGATCTGGACAATAAAGTTGTGTCTTATCTTATCTTATCTATCTTATTTTTCCCCAGGATCTGGACAATAATGATGTGTCTTATCTTATCTTATCTTATCTCATCTTATCGTATCTTCTACCAGGATCTGATGGGGATGTCCGAGGACCAGGCTCTGAGGTTTGAGCGTCTGGTGGTCACTCCCAAGGGCGAGGGCGGGAAGGAGGAGATGGACAAAGAGCCTGATACCTCCACGGGCTGTTACGACAACATTGTCTTCAAGTAAGTTGGTTAGATGTGTCAAAGTGTCCAATTACGTGCAATGTATGTTTCAGTTTTGTCTCTGTCTTCAAGTAAGTTTGTGTCTTAGATGACAAAACAATGTGTCAAAACATCTAATTAAGTACAACGTGTGTTTCAGTAATGTTTCTGTCTTCAAGTAAGTTGGTGTTTTAGACTTGTCAAAATCGATAATTACGTACACAATATTAACAATTTCGTCATTTTATGTGATATCTTAGATGTATCAACACCTCTAATTACGTACATTATATGTTTCAATTGTGTTTTTGTCTTCAAGTAAGTTATTCCAGTAAGTTGGTGTCTTAGATGTGTCAAAAACTCTAATACGTATATGAGAATAGATTATGTTCCAATTATGCTGTCTTGGCTGAGTCAAAGCATCTAATTACAAACATGATATGTTTCAACAAGTTTAGTCTAATTGAAGTAGGTTGTTGTCTTAAATGTGTTAAAACCTCTAATTACATACAGGATATGTTTCAATTATCTTATTGTCTTCAAGTAAGTTACTTCCTTCTTCTTCACCC